CCCCAAAACCCCAAAACCCCAAAACCCCAAAACCCCAAAACCCCTTTGCCTAGTAATTAATTGAATTAATACCTACAGATGGTTGACGCAAGAGAAATCTTAATCCCAAGATTTACCTATGTTAAAGAAATTGAGCCAAGGACTAAGCTAGAGTCTGTAATCTTAGGATATTCCAACTCGAAAGAAGCTATCAGAGTCTCTCAAGGAATTTCTGAGTGTATTCCAGATTTAGAAGTGTATAAATCTGAAAATGAGAAACTCAAGTTCACCAATGTCAAGAATCTCTACGGGATCATGGGAGTTGTCAAAAGAGATACAAGAGAATACTTGCTATTGATCGAAGAATGCAGCATCATGGGGCAAGTTCTCAAGTGCAATATCTTCAGAGTTGACCAAATTTTGGTTGTTCCTCTCCAACACGAGGAAAATAAGGAGGATATTGAGCATACAGAGCTTATTAAGGGCCTTGTAAATGACAAAGCCTTCTACTTCAGTTACAATTACAACCTTACTTACTCCTTACAAGCAAACGTGAACAGGATTCTTGTCCCTGAAGAAAGTAAAGGACTTCAGAAGAAAGGTAGCTCTGAGGAGTACTGGTCAAATTATGAAGAAGATCTTGTATTCAATAGAGTTCTTCTCTCTGAATTTGATACTAACACAAGTGAACAACTGTGGTCTTTCATTGTCCCAATCATCTATGGGTATGTTTTCGTCCATTCTCTTCATTTTGACCAAAACAAAGCCGATTTAGTTCTGATTTCAAGGAAGGATTGTAACAGACTCGGAAGAAGATTTGTCTCGAGAGGTCTTGACGAAGAAGGAAATGCTTCGAACTTTGTTGAGACTGAGCACATTATTGTTCATTACGAGGAGGAATCGTACAGAATTGCATCATATGTTCAAACAAGAGGAAGTATTCCTCTTATTTGGACTCAAACTCCAACCTTGAAGTATGGTCCTAAGCTAGGAATTAGTACTGATGATACTAAGAATAAGGCAGCAGCAGAGAAGCATTTTGCAAAGAACATTGAGAAGTATGGCGACCATGTACTTATCAATCTTATTGATAAGAAGGGTTCTCAAGACAAAATTGGAACTGCCTTCACCAAGCTCGTTAAGAACCTTAAGAATGACAGACTCCATTATGAATGGTTTGATTTCCATGGAGAATGCAAGAAGATGAAGTGGGAAAACCTTTCCAAACTTATTAAAAATATCCAAGAGAAGGTTGACGAGCAAAACTACTTCATGGCAAGATTAGATTATGCTTTTGATCAAAAGGAGAAATTAAGTCAATCGAGTTGAATGATCATGCTCAACCAAAACGGAGTGTGTAGGACCAACTGTATGGATTGTTTGGATAGAACAAATGTCGTCCAATCTGTAATCTCAAGACTCATTGCTCACAGACAGCTTTGGAAGATGAATATCTTGGAAAAGCCAAAAGGAGATCCATTTGAGACTTTCCCTGCTAAATTTGAGACTCTATTCAGACAAGCATGGACAAATAATGCTAATGTTTGCAGTATTCTTTATTCAGGAACTCCTGCTTTAAAAACTGACTTTACTCTAACTGGAAAGAGGAGCGCTCAAGGAGCTTTGATGGACGGGATCAACTCTGCTAAGAGATACTATATCAACAACTTCTGTGATTTCCAAAACCAAGATATCTTAGACTCAACTCTTCAGAAGTTAAAGCCAGGCCAGAAAATTAGACAAGGAGGTAAAGTTAAGTTTATGACTGTCCTTTTCTCTCTTATTTTTGGAATCATTATTCTGAACTCAACGGTAAAATATCTATATGGAGTTCATGATCTTCAACCAGGTGAAGAAGGATACTATGATTATGGATACACCATGGGATTTTTACACCTCGTCACTGTCTTTGCAATCACTGGCTTCACATTTAAGACACTATTCTTATAAACAGAAGGAAATTATAGTGGGATGAATCAACTTCATCTCTCATTTTGTTAAAAGCAATTAGATCAATTGTTATTAGGCTTTTTGGGGTTTTGGGGTTTTGGGGTTTTGGGGTTTTGGGGTTTT